CTACTACTACTACTACTACTACTACTACTACTACTACTACTACTACTCATACTCCTACTGCTCCTGCTACTGCTACTGCTACTGCGACTGCGACTACCACGACTACCACTACCACAACTACTACCACTACCACCACTACCACAACTACTAGGACGACGACGACGACGACGACGACGACGACGACCACCACCACCACCACCACCACTACCACTACCACTACGACCACTCCTGCTACTACTACTACTACCACCACCACCACTACTACATTCAACTCTAAGCTGTCACCCAATTCAACAAGTATCATATTCAATTTTAAGGCTGTCCATGGAGAAGTGCTTAGGAGTAGATCTATCCATTGAATATATACCGCCACATAAGAGATGCTTACAAGCAACTAGAATCATAGATTCCAAGACAATGCCAACGCACAAAGCTGGGTCATCAAAGGAACTGACTTGAATCAAAGTGAAATCGAAACTTGCTGGAGCCCAACATTACGTCTGTAAATCTGGATTGAAAACGCATTCCCATATCAATGTTGGGTTTCCAGCCTTGCAAATCATTGATGAGGGGGTTGTCTGTTTCATCCACGCGCCCAACTTTTCTTTTTGGGAGCTTCCGCTTGTTTGGGATTCCGTTTAGTTTGGCTTGGGTTGGCTACCTTGGCTTGCCCATAAAACCTGGCAAGAACATACATATCTATGTTGTTTATATAACATACAAAACTGATAAGTCGTATTAAGATGTCATTAAGTCGTTTTTGACTCGTCAATATTCCGAAAGAAGTGGCTGGAAGTCCTTTCAGAAAGTGAATCCTTGACGAGTGGCAATGTAGAATTGAAAGACCTGCACCCAAATCGCTCCCAAAGGTCGAAGGGCCTCAGCTGCTTCAGCCCAATCAAAGCCTCCAGAGATGGATCGAAACAGAGTCTGCATTGAATCTCCCAGAGTTCCGAAGAACCACTGCATGTATGGGTCATTATCCGGGTCATCGGACTCTGCCAGGTGTTCCAACGCCATATCCGTGAAGAGCACCCCGGCGATGTAAATGATGAGGAAAAGAAGAAGCAAAGCCCAAAAAAGTGACTTGAAGGTATCCACTAGGGAGGACACCATCGTGCGCAGCGCACCCACAAACCGCACGATCCACAAGGTCTTCACAATGCGCAGCAAACGTGAGACTCTCAGAAGCCTTAACACCCGAAAGCTCGAACCAACTGCCTCTCCGCCCGTTGAGCCAATGAAGACCAAGATAATGTCTAGCCAAGAAGATGTGACCACTATTACATCTAACCAATTCCACCCCCACCCTGGAGGTGCCAAAAAGTATTTTCTTGGACCTACAGACACCATTCGCATGGACAGTTCCAGAGTGAAAAGGAGTGCGTAAACGATGTGGACCGAAATCAAGTGCTGCTGTTGGGTGAGGCTGAGTTGTACACCCAAGTATGCTGCATTGGAGGCAATCACCAAGGCCCAGAAAATATCGAAGTAGGGAGAATTGGGCAACGTCAGAAAGCATTCCTTCGCGGATCCAGTGCGAAACGTAGACTCAAAAGATTTCTCTGTGACCACGCTAGAGAAAAATCTGCGTTTCTTTGCACGCGACGACTCCCGGGTTGCCTTCGCGTAAGTGTGTGATTTCTTGAGCATTTCTTTGTGAGCATCCTCGCGCAACTCCACTGATGTTGCGTCTTCTTCTGCTTGAAACCCTGTCTCTTGCTCTCCGCCGTCCTCCACCTTCAACGATGACATGTGCTTTGCTGAAGGTGAAGGTGCTGAAGCCACATCATCATCTGTGGCAGTGGCCTGCACAATTCCCCCTAGGGAAGGTTGTGGCGGTGGTATGAAGTTGCTCTGCGCAAGTTCATCCTTGATCCGGTACTCCATGTTTTTCAACTCAGCCAAGATCAGATCGTTCAACTTTCCATGGAACTCCCCGACGGCCACATGAATGGCCTCATTGAAGTTCTCCATGGCAGCGTGTTCAAAGCGTGAAACAAACTACTCTCTCGCCAGACGTGTCTGTTGCAAGGCTCCAATTGGGCCGGAATATTGCAGAAGTGCCAAAGAGCCTTGCAAGATCAATCCAGTGACACACCAGCACAACCCTGAACAAAACTAGAATGAGGCAACTGACAAGCCCCCAGCTTCACACAATCTTAGTCTTAGAACAGTCTTACCATGCCTTGTCTGCTTTGTGAAGGGGACGACGCTTGAGAAGCATTCTGAGCTTGGACCTTTTACGGGCTGGACATCTGTCAGATGTCCCAGCGATGTTTTATCCCTCTCTCCCAGCATCTCCCAGCATTCAGATGCGCGATGAATCAATTTGACTTCACTACACACATTGTCCGTAGGCATGCTTGGCTGAAGATGCGCTCCCGCAAGCGACTTTACCAAGTATGGAGGCGATAGTGATTCCACACGTGCACACTGTGGTGTGCCAAGCAGAGAATGGTGTCGAACCTGTCGCATTCCCAAATGGTTGCCTACCCTCCTGGCATGGTCAATCCTACACTGCTGTCTCACTGCCCGTGAAACACTATGAAACAGTGTCCAGAACAGCCAGGAGATCTGACAGGCCCAAGCTGTCTAGAATGTTTATCAAAATGCAAAAAGAACATGTTTCATGGTGTTTCCAATGTGTCAGAAAATTAATGGGTAGTGACATCCAACATCACTCAGTTTTCGTCAACCGCAATGGCGGCTATAAGCGCTAGGTCTCGACGTTTCTCGGCCGTCCTCTCCAAGCCATCATTCGCGGCCCAAGCGTCATTCCAAAGCAACCGGCGCGCGAGACATACTCGATTTCTGAACAACAGTTTCAACAAGTACGCGGTGGCTCATCGATTTTTCTCACGCACCCTCAACAAAACTGGTCGCTTCCATGTTGCTCCTTTGCTGCTTGTTACAAATCAAATGCTTTGTACGTGTATACACTCTGGTTCTTCGGTGGCTTCTTCGGAACGCACTGCTGTGGCCCCTGGCGAATCCACATCAGGAATCGTGCTCACCCGTGGGGCACTGGCGATCCTGCGGACATTCCAGAATGATCTAAGGAATTTTATATAGTAGCTTCTTGCTCCTAGTAGTAAGGCCAGGAGCCCCTAGTAGCGTCCTTGCTCCCAGTAGTAAGGCCAGGAGCCCCTAGTAGCTTCTTGCTTATTTTATGTTCAAGAAGTGTTTGTTCTTCCTTCAGACCCGGGGGAGTAGGCCAAGGCAAGCTACTCAAGAGTAGATTGTACAGCCGTTTTAGACCAAGATGACGTGGCGACTTGCTTCGTCAGAGCAGAATTTGAGAATATAGACTTACATTCAAGAATCACCTGCACGGTAGCTAGCTTCTCTCAAAAATCTACAAGCACTCATTGTTTTGGCATGCCTTATGTCGTTCAACTTGACTGCCATACATATGCAGGATGGATAGGATGGATAGGATTAATAATATGGATGAATGGCATTGGATGACTGTGCAGCCAAATCTCCTCTGCTCAGAGGATCTCTCACCTTGGCTCGGCAATTACCAAGGACCCTGGGCGATTGTACACGAAGATGGATTGGAAGTAGAAGAAACATGAAGAGGGCTAATGGAGTTTTGGGAATTTTAGTGCTTGCGCTGTGAAAACCCCTTAGGGCACGGGAGAATATCTGTGAAAAAAAAGTGTGTTTATCCTTTTTGTTTTTTTTCCTTTATCTCTTCTGTACACCTTCAATATCCCTCAATCTGCACAGCCAAGGGCACTCATTGGAGCTCCAACTGTCGATGAAGCAAATGGTTTGGCAAGTGTGTTGACCCTCCAACATGAGGTTCTAGAATAGATTCTCACCACTTTTGGCCGCACATTGTCATTTGGTCAAGTGTACTGCAAAGTAGTGGAAAGGCCTGTGATCATATGGGCAATTCTTTCAGATGTTGTGTACAGTAATTTCATGTTGCATCTCCTGGCCAGGGCCAAGGCAAAATGGAACTGTATATACTATATACTATATACTATATGATATGCTACTTTATGCAATTATATTACATTATATGTCCTCACGGGTTTATTTAAGACTGTGACACGTTTGTGAAAAACACCACGGCTTTTAACGGTTTCATGTTTTTTGTGGGAAGACAAATAGCGTTTCTTTAGACCAGGACCTCAGGACCTCAGGTGCGCAAGCAAGCATGTGTGCGCAACACAGCACGAGTACTAGTATTGTGTAGCAACGTAGAGGGGCTTCTTCTGTATGAGCGTGCAATTTGAACCGGACCGAACGCTAACATCCCACCCCACCCCCACCCCACACTCAGTCATTCGCATTGTGTAGCAACGTAGAAGGGTTTCTTCTGTATGAGCGTGCAATTTGAACCGATCGTTAACATGCCATCCGACCAAAACCCTCGGAATCATGGCACAGTTCTGAAGTCGTAATTGCAGTGTGTTTTACATCGACCGATGAAAACATGCGTGGTAAATACGCGTAAATACCGCGCTAAATTCCGCGAACGGATGCTAAAAAAAACGCTCGAATAGCGTATGAATGTACATGTGAGGTTAAAAACACGCACAGTCTTAAGTAAACCCGTCTGGATATATATATATATTAATATTATATATATATAGCAAGTCGAGCGTGCTCAAACAAGTCAGACAAGTCACGCGCATGCTTCTCAAACTGTTGTTGTAGCAACTGCTGCTGTTGCTGCAGCTTCCGCTGCTTCAGCTGCAACTCTTGCTGCAATCGAAGATGCTCCTGTGCCAAATCATGGCTTGGGACAGAGATAAGACTTGTAAATCCTTGGTTTCGAGCTTTTGATGATCGTACGGGGTGGTTAGATGATAAGCCAAGTCAAAACGTCTATTGTTTTGTCCAACCAGCAAATTTGGGATACGGGATACGTATTAATGAATTATTAATGTATAAGAATTGCTTGCCTCAAAACCTACCTTGCACTGATCTCTCCTGACAATTTCACTAGAATACTGGCTGTTGTAATTTGGATTAGCATGTCCTCATCGAGCCTCTCGAAAACCCAGAAAATTGCCACGCCGACGAATTTAGGCACCCTATATAAGATCAAGACTATGAGAGATCATGTGTGTTGATAAATGTTCCAAATACATGTAAACATCTGTAAAGAAAAGTGTGATCCAAGTACATTTCTTGGTCTTGCAAATGATACGCTCCTGAAGCTCCTTGTCTTCAGAGATTCGCCTGAGGAAACAGGAAGACATAGATGAGAAGACCACATCTATGTCGCCAAGAGGACCCAAGCACAATCAGCGACAATGGACTCCAACACGCTCCGACGGCTCCCCCGATTTGAGGCCAAGCGCTGTGCCCCAAAACTCTACTTAGGTCTCTGGCTCGCCATTGTGAGGCCGGGGCTCCTGATGTTGAGGCTTCAAATGGGAGGCCTTGACAAACTTCTGAAGTGCATCAAATGGGATATATCATGCAGTTCACAATGCACATCATGCGCAAAGATGAGAGAGCTCCCATGGCCGAAAATGCTTCTTTGTGGGTTCCCTGTCGGGCGAGTCAATCTGACTGCCTGCTCCTGCGGCGAAGCACTCAGTGGACGACCTCCATAGGAGGCAGGACGCCGGGAAAGCTTGAAGTGGTGTCGCCGCCCAAAGCAGTTGGATCGTGTTAGCAGCATAGTAATAGATGCACCAATCTTTACAAGCCAAAGACCAAATGAATAGCGGCCCTTCTTCAGGTGGAAGAACAATTATATGTATATATATATATATGTGTGTGTGTATATATAGAAATATATATATATAGTGTTTTTTCAATATATATTCCCTTAGAATGCCAGATAGGAAGAGCACAGAAAATAGCCTAATTCCTTTGCATGTGGTGTGAGCTGCAAAGCGTACCTCAAATCGTTCCCATTGCATACTAAGGCAGCAAGGGAAATGAGTAGGGTTCTCAAGGAGCCTTTGAATTCAATTACTGTATAATATATAGCCTTACAAACTTGTAGGGACACGCCCGCCAGTAGTTACCCCATCGGGCAAGAGTGCTTGGCCTCCGAGTGAGGTGGCCGAAGGAGTTGGCGACCTCGTGGCTGGTCACTGAATGAACCTTCCTCGAACATTGGTTTCCTGAGCCTCAAAACACCAGGAGCAAGCTGGAGCAAGCCTTCAAGCCATGACCTTGTCAAGAACCCTTGATTGTATATACAACTATGCAATCTTTGCATCCAGTACCGACTACCTGGCAAATCAGCTGAAAGCCTTGGTAAAGCAACAGCAAATGATCTTCTACTACTACTACTACTACTACTACTACTGGAAGATCATATGTCCTTCGGTCAACTCTATCATCGCTGCAAACTGTAAATAGAATTTGAGGAAAAAAAACTGCAACAAGCGCACATGAATGTGAGTGAGGCAACCAAGTCAAATGAGGGAAAAGCACTCCACAAGAGTGTCCGTTCAGCCATCCATTCATGTTTCACGAGAAACACATGAGGCCATGAATCTGCAGGTCAGAATTGGAACTTCAACTTAGTGAATTTTACAAGGCCATTAGACAAGATTCTACGGGCTCACGTCCTGCAAAATACAGGCAGTATATTGTCCTCAGAGATTGCTTGTGTCCTTTTGTCCGCGCACACCCACACCACCGAGTCTCCCATGCTCGTACAAGGTCATGGGTTGCCAACCTCAGCCGAGCAAGGGCTGAGTATGCTGGGATGTGCTGTTGGTGGCTACAACAACTGCAGCACCTCAGCTTGGTGGCCGTTAAGAAGGTTCTTTTCTTTCCTCCCCACTTGAAGTGGAACAAATGCAATGAAGGGAATATATTCATACAGTATATAGATAGAGACGAGAGGTCAACGCATAGGTCCGCATGGCCATCAAATGCTAAGCAGGATGCACCAGGTTTCAAGCAGTTCAAACATACAGCGTTGCGTTTGAAGAGCCTACTTTCCAATACAAGCCCAAGTGGCCCTTGAAAGATTCATATACTGAACTTGCGCTTGTCCAGCACCTCTTCCTTTCCATTGTCCAAAGAAAGCTTCAAACCTAGCTATATACTAAGTGCAAGGACGTTCTTGAGCTACGTACATCATGCTCCTAACCTACTGTCTCTGATTCTAACCCTTACTATCCATAACGCCATATCTTGGGCATGTGCTTGTGGTCGGCGAAAGCTGTGATAGCTGGGATGCCTGGCCATCTGGAGCAAGCTACCATGGTCGGATTCCCTAGTCACCACTGAGCTATTGTGTCCATGGCCTTGCAAACACGGCAAAAATGTGGAAGCGAAACAAAGTCTACACAGATGTGGAAGCAAACAAAGCCTAGTAGCGATGGCCTCCAACCTAAAGGCTACAAATGTGGAAGCAAACAAGTCATATTGTGACAAGGAAAAAAAAACGACGCTGTAACCTCGCCAAGTATTGAATTGGTTCTCACACATTCGCATACTACTGTGCTACGGTTCCAGATTTCATGGACATGGATCATGGACTGTGGCTGACCCCCGGCTTCAGCTTGCGGCGGATCC